GGTTAGAGAGTCGGACTCGTAACCCAAAGGTTGCGGGTTCGGGTCTCGTACCGGCAGGGATTGTAGGTGGGGGGAGTGAATGTGCAGCGCTCTCTCCCACCTACCTTACCACGACTGAGGTGCCCTTGAGCAAGGCACCGAACCCCCAACTACTCCCCGGGCGCCGCAGCAAAAAAATGGCTGCCCACTGCTCCGGGTGTGTGTTCACGGTGTGTGTGCACTTTGGATGGGTTAAATGCAGAGCACTAATTCCAAGTATGGGTCACCATACTTGGCCACATGTCACGTCACTTTCACTTTTTCACTTTCAAATGCATAAATATAGAGTATGTCAGGTGTTTGATGACCGTATCACTTACTCACCACATCTGCTTGCAAAACCTCTCACAGTGACACATACATGGATCATCGTGAAGGCCAACAGAAAGGTCTAAGATTTACCTATTACACAACACTCACTACTGACTCATTAAAGCACTCAAAAGACCAAAACCAGGAGTAATTTAACATCGACGCATGACCAGTCAATGCATGAATACATTTCCAGTTCCAAAACAATGGCGATGTTGAATTAGTGCTTATTTGCTGATGGTTTTGCTCACTGTCAAGGCGGTTTTACAGACAGGACAGCTGTCAACTCACCTACTGAAAGCATAACAAAGGACGACCATGGTATTTGGACATGTCCCATGTCCCTTGGCGTATCATGTCAATATCTGATACCATAACACTATACCATAATAGCCCCAAACTACATTTTTAAAGGTCAACATGTGTGAAATATGAGCAAACGCGCATTATAATGTGACTGACAGTGTTGGATAACTTACCTGCGAGTGTTTTTGAGACTGGAGCAGCTTGTGAGAGACTGGCAAATCCTAGTAAACACACACCTCCACGAAGAGCCTCCATCCTCAGCACTGCAGCTAATCCACTACCTCAACTAACGTTACCTAGAAACAGCTATCACATCTAAATAAATACCGCAAAAGACGCCTAAATTGGCTCATCTATGTCTATGTACATCTATATCGTTATATCCGCCGTGTCAAAGACTCATGTTGTGTGATATTAGTCATATGTCGCGTTATGAGCGTTAGCTAACACGACAGTTCTGTGATGTTTATGAAGCTAAGCTAATGCTAACCGCCACCGGCGTCTTATTTACGATTCTGTCTCATCGTTTTAAACCGCTCGCTCGTTTACTACCTCTCTCGGACGATTAAATGTGAGGATATGTCTTTTCCCAGCATTGTAAAACTTCTGGGTTCGTGGAAAAATCAAAAGCGCAGTAAACAGAGTGGTCCAGCATCACCTTTCCGCACGAGCGCCATGTTTCGTGACGTCGCGGTGACAGAAACTGACGGCGATTAGATGTCAGGGAGATAAAAGAGAGGAAAAAAAAGAGAGAGAAAAGGTTTCGACTGTGATGAGCAATGCAAAACCTGTATTAGGAGGAAACTGTCACAACATCCTGTAGGCTACTGATTTGATTTGATTTGTATTATTAGCACAAAGGCCTATTATTATTATATTTTTTGCAGGAGAATAATTATTATTACATGTATTATTAGTCCCATGTAATATATAATAATATAATTATTAATAATAATTATTATTATATATACATATAATATAATATACACATATATACAATTTATTATTACAGGTTACATTGCTAAAGGGCTAATGCAACTTCTCTGAAATGAGCTTTTGCAGGGTGGGGTGTCTAGATTTAATTAATTTATTTATTTATTGCCACTTATTTTGAGGTCATTTGATGAAATGAAAATGTATGAAGATAATGAGAACCTCTGAAATTAGACAAAATATTTTTTTTCAAGGCAGGCCTAATTTAGTCAATAGTATTTCAGTAACAGTTTTATAAGGCATTTGGTGTAAAAAGCCTCGTTGTTGAGGCTAAGAAATTAATTTGTGGTTTGAAGCACATTGCCTGTAAAATATATATTTTTAAAAAAAAATTTTTTTTTAAAGGAGTCTCATATGCTTACCAGGCTGCATTTATTTGATTTAAAGTAAAAAACGTAATTACTATTAATAACTGATCCTGCCGGTTGGAAGTTTGGAATGATGATATTTTAAATGCTTTTCACAGAAGTCTCTTATGCTCGAGTCACCAAGGCTTCTTTTATTTGATTAAAAATACAATAAGAAGCAGGTATATTGTGAAATATTATTACAATTTCAAATAACTGCTTTCTATTTGATTATATTCTATTAGATTATATTATATTTAAATTTATCTGAATTTATTCCTGTGATGCAAAGCTGCATTTTCAGCATCATTACTCCAGTCTTCAGTGTCACATGATCCTTCAGAAATCGTTCTGATATACTGACTGCTGCGAAATTATTATTTGTATTTAATTACTAATAATGGTTCTAATTGTTAGTAAAGTTGAAAACGATTTTTGCTGCTTAATATTTTTTTTGGAAATCATGATGCATTTTTTTCAGGATTCTTATGAATGATGAATAGAAATTCATATAACGGCATTTATTTAAAATATAATTTTTTTTGTAACCTTAAATGTCTTTACTGTGTAGTTTTGATCTATTCAATGCATCCTTGCTGAATGAAAATATTAATTTCTTTCTTTCTTTTTTTTATTAAATCAAAATCATATATATCCCTAACTTGTGAATGGTGTATCAGGTTTTCTACAAAAACATACAGCACCATAGCTTCATTTAATAACAGCAGAATCATAGAAGGAGCTGTTACAGAATACCTGAGATGTATAAAATAAAAATGAAAATGGGATGAATACTTAAATGTTACAAAAATTGCTTTTTACATCAAAAGTATATGACATTTCGCTCTCTCACTATGGCTCATATATCCACACTATACTGTATCACCATAGAAACCCACTCCCCAATGCCTTTTCCCAGTGCTCACCACCAGCTTATACAGTATGCTCGCCATATTAATGTTTCATCGAAAGAAATTTCTTTGATCTTTTTCCACAAAAATGGCTTTGTTCCTCCGGTTTTATTTATAAGGTTCTTGTCTGTGCCCTTTACACAAAAACAAACAAACAAAACAAATAAAGGACAGAAATAACAGAAAAATGTATACACTGTTAACATTTAATCTAGTTTCAACTGTTATATCCCTAGGGAAATTAAATATACTAAAATGTATTTGGAATACATTAAGCATACTACATACATTTACATATATATGTACTTAATTAAATGCCCTGCAATACTTTTAGTATACTAAATCATACGAAATACAAAAATCATACAATCCTCATCAATAGTGACACTAAAACACACTTTAGACTTAATATTAAGAAATGTGCATTGTCCAAATAAAGTTCAATCATAATTTATATCAGTGATATATCAGTAAATATGTAAACAGATCTGAACTATACTGAAATAAATGCATTTTATGAAATAATTTTTAATGTTTTAAATATACTTCTTTTTTTTTTACTAGGATTTACATTATATCCATCCAGCTTTAATTTCTAACTGATCGTCAGGTTAAATCCTAGTATAAATGACAGAAAGTATTATAAAAAGTTAAATGGATGGGAAGATATTTGATCATAACATTTATAATGGTGTACAAATTGTGTAAAATGCCTCACAAGAACAAATACGGGATAAATAAACAAATACAATAACAAGTATATAAGTATTTGAATATTTTATTGGTGACACTTTACAATAATCTTTCATTTGTTAACAGTAATTAACATAAACTAACAATTAACAAGCTTCTATAGCATTTATCAATATTAATTAATTAATATATAAACAACATTTATTATTAATATACGTGACCCTGGACCACAAAACCAGTCATAAGGGTCAATTTTTTGAAAATGAGATTCATACATCATCTGAAAGCTGAATAAATAAGCTTTCCATTGATGTATGGTTTGGCTGAGATACAACTATTTGAAAATCTGGAATCTGAGGGTGCAAAAAAATCAAAATATTGAGAAAATCCTTAGCAATGCATATTACTAATCAAAAATTAAGTTTTGATATATTTACGGTAGGAAATTTACAAAATATCTTCATGGAACATGATCTTTACTTATTATCCTAATCATTTTCGGCATAAAATAATATATTGATGATAATTTTGACCCATACAATGTTTTTTTGGCTATTGCTACAAATATACCCCAGCGACTTAAGACTGGTTTTGTGCTCCAGGGTCACATATTTATTAATTTATTTATTATTTAAAAAAAAATCTTATTTATTGTATGAACATATTGATAAGGCGACCTCATCTCATCACCATCAACATTTTTGTGCTGATTCTATATTTTATTGTTAAATATGATTGTGATTTTTCATTGTAATTTGGTTTTGCAATTCAGCCCAAACCAGAAGAAATTTCCTTCCCAGCATCATCACAGGTCTCAGTAGTAAGCCAGAGCCAAGCTCACCTGAGCTCTTCATAAGCATATGCAAAAATAACATCCTTTCAAACCAATAGCTATCAGAAATGATCTGCTTGGATTAGCTAATGAGGAGGGAGGTGTTTTGTGGCCTCCTTGGGTTTAAGGGCACGGGTTTCACGCTCTCTCTGCACTTTAGGTCCCAGAACAGCAGGAGAGGGTCTCTGTTTCTCCATTGTTCCTGAAGATACACCTGAAGAGAAGCATACATCACTTCCCGCCACCACCCGTCCAACGGTGAGTGCCTGTTTCTTAACATATACTATACTGCTAAAATGAAGTTGTTTTTGGTGGAGTCAGGTATCTAAATCAGAATTTTTAATACAGAAGTTACATTTTTTTTATTGCAATTGCATCCTTGCATTTTCCCAAGCTCATAAGTAATATGAGCTTAGCAGCATTTATGTTAATGTTTATACTAGTTTATTGGTACATTCAAATTGGACAGAAAAGCTTGTAAAAACTTCACTGTTCAATTAAAACAGGCATATACTGGATTTAGTATTCTGTTGGATCTCTAATTGCAATTTGTATTTGTACTACTTAGTTTTTGAAGAAACATGGCACTTGCAGCACACCTGAAGCAAGATGACATTGCTGCAGCTATCCAGGCTTGTCAAGGTGTGACACACACACACACACACACACACACAGAGTCACTCATCAGCACATGCAACTGATATTTATGCTCATCTACAAGAACACATATTCATGTGTGCTTACACATGTTAAACAGCTATTCTCACTAACAGCAACAACATAAAGAGCTGCTTTAGTTACAGCTACACACACACACACACACACTCACACACGCTCAGAGGGAGACTCCCATAGGCCGGTGAGTCCGGGGCATTGGGGATAGGTAGATCCAGGTATCCAGGCAGCCAGAGACTGGAGAGCAGCTGCCACCAGGATACCAGTGTGTTTGTGCCAAACATCCAGAAACACACACACAAACACACACACA